ATGTATTACTTTTATTTTTACCATTATTTTATTGACATACTGAAAAGGAAATCTTAATACAAAGAAGCAACACATCAAGTTAAGCATGACTGGTAGTCTCCATGGCTGTTAGTTAAACAATTTATTGTTAACACACAATAGTAGGTGATTCAGAGTAAGAATTATGACACAACCCTAAGGTCCACTCTAGCATACAAGTATTATTCTTTGAAAATTAGAGAGTTCCAAAAATAGTTGGTGAGAAACCACCTTTAAAGGGACCAAGACCATTGGTGAGAACCATTATGACTTTGCTATGTTCTCTGAGCACAGGCAAGATCACTCAATTTAACACGGGGTACAGTGAAGAACAGACTGTCATCACCTTAATTCAGGGATTAAACTTAACACGAATGGTGAGACAACCAGATATAGTGTCTCCTGATACAATGCAATGTGAGCTAGACATCATCATCTATGCTGCATTTCTGTCAACATATTAAACTAGGATTACAATTAAGGGTATATTAATGTTATTTTGGAAATTTTGTAATGTAAGAAAGTGTTTTCAAGTTGAATATTATCTATGTATGTATATGTATGTTTTGTTGTTGCTACTAAGTGTTGTCAAGTCGGTTCCGATTCATAGCTACTCTGTATAGGGTTTCCGAGGAGTGGCTGGTGGGTTTGAACTGCTCCCCTTTTGGTTCAAATCAACATTGTGGTCCAGGGCATTATCCTGCAGTGCCACAACAAGGCATATGTATATATATATATAAAGTACAGTGGCTCTGTAAGATAAGCACTGGACTTCAAATCACAAGGTTAGTAGTTTGAGCCCATCAGCTGCTCCTCAGGAGAAAGAGGATGTTTCTGTTCTTGCAAATATTTACAGCCTAGAAAGCCCTATGCAGGTAGCTATGAGTAGGAACTGACTGAACGGCACTTAACAAGGACAATATATACATAAACAACAATATGTGTGTGTGTGTGTATATTGTTGTTATTTTTAAGTGCTGTTGAGTCAATTCTGACTCATAGTGACCCTGTATAGGGTTTCCAAGGAGCAGCTGGTGGATTTGAGCTGCCAACCTTGTGGTTCAAACCAACCTTGCAATCAGTCCAATGCCTATCCTAATGCAATATATATATGTAGTCCTGGTGTGGCACTGTGGATTAATATGCCAGACTGCAAAGCCATTTGAACTGCAAGGTCGACAGTTCAAGCTCACCAGCTGCTCCTCCTCAGAAACCCTATACAGGGTCGCTATGGATCAGAACCAACTCAACAGCACTTAACAACAACAAATATATATACACACACACACACACACACACACACATACATAATTTGTGGAAAAGTGGAATTGAAATATAATTGAATTTTTCTGTGAACTTTTTGAAGCCTTTTCACATATATACCTTTATCTGTGTATTTACAGTTGGAACTGTGGGATGGGGCTGAGCAAGAGTACAAATTTGTCCCTATTTTGGGTAAATAGCCCAGAAGCAAGTTTCTGGTATTTGGTTTAATTAATTGACCAATATTAATTAAGCCTTGACTATGTACTCATCTCTGTTAGATGCTGCTGGGTATGTAATGGAAGATAAAATAGTCAGAGAACAATATGCGTGTGTAGGATAGACTAATAATGCCACAGACTTTCAGAGACAGGGAGCTTAGTGAGGGGCCAAGTATGCTGTGAAGGCTTCAAGAAGAGGGGGATATGATTAGAGATCCGAAGACTGAGCACAATTTAGGACCGCTATCGGAGTCCTGACAACATGTCCAAAGTATGACAGACAAAGTTTAGCCATCTTGGCCTCCAAGGAGCACTCTGGCTGCACTTCTTCCAAAACAGATCTATTAGTTCTCGTTGTCAGGAGGGAACAGTCTCTGGAGAAGGATGTCATGCTGGGTAAGATGGAGGGTCAGAGAAAAAGAGGAAGACCCCCAACAAGATGGATCGGCCATCATTAATGGACTCGGGTGTGGCAGCGGTAGTGAGGTTGGCCCAGGATCGGACATTGTTTCATTCTGCTGTGCGTGAAGTGGCTATGAGTTGGTTCTGACTCGATGGCACCTGACAATAACAACAACAATCGGAGTCCTGGTGTGGCACTGTGGGTTAATGTGTTGGACTGCAAAGTTGGTGGTTCAAGGTCACCAGCTGCTCTTGGAAACCTTATGCAGGGTTGCTATGGGTTGGAACTGACTCGATGGCACTTGACAATAAAAAGAACAATCCGTGTGCACATGTGTTTGCATGCTCACATGTGTGATAGCAAGTTGTATGTATCTAGCAGCATCCACCTGTGAGTTGATGGCAAGTTATTCCCAGAAGATTTTTCTTGATGTACACTTGAGATGAAAATTTCTTTGCTTTAAAGCTATTTCTTAAAATTTAGTTCCTTAGGGATACATATTGCAATATATAAATATTCATTCTTTCCCATTAAAAAATTTCCACTTTAGCTGCAATGTTACTTAAGCTATATCACACAGACAAATGTCTGATCTCTGATTTACTTGTGTCTGATCTGAAATAGGCTAGTTGTGAAAAATATTTCATGTTAATATTTTGAAAAATTTTAAATAGAATTCAATTTTAACACTTGTAAAAAATATGGTTAGTACTGTTACCAACTTAGTAAACTAACAAATTAAATAAAGCTAAATAATGAATCAAAGAATATTCTCAGTTAAAAAGGAGAACAGTGATCTGCTTTTTGAAGCTACAATCCCATTAGGGATTTAAGATGGGAGAATCCTCGATTTTCATTACAATGTAGTTCTACAAATCCTGTCTAAAAGTGGTGATAAAGCAGATTACGTTTTCCCAAAGGGACAACATTATAATTAGAAGTGGTGTGGTTTTTAAATTTTATAAAAGTTGCAGCGGAACTCTTCAAAGTAAAGGATTTTAAAACCGAGAACTTCAAAGGTCTTAAGCTCTTATGTGTTGTTGCTGTTTGTTGTCATTAAGTAAAGTCTAATTCCATGTGGGCAGAGTAGAGCTGCTCCACAGGATTTCAAGCTGAGACCTTTCAGAAGCACACCTCCAGGCCTGTCATCAGAGACGCTCTGGGTGGGTTTGAATCACCAACCTCATAATGAATCATGGGGTCAATATTATTTCCACTTCACCATACTCCCTCTCTTAAAAATCCAGAAAACGTGCATAAAAGTTATAGATAACATAAGTCATACAGGGTGATCAAAGCTTTCATTATTGCTGTTGTTCTGACTCATAGTGACTGTGTATAGTATTTCCGAGGAAGGGCTGGTGGGTTTGAATGGCCCATCTTGGTGTTAGCAGTCCCATGCTGATCCTATAGAGCCACATCAGGACAGTTTTATGGTATAAAATGCAACCTATTGAAAACAAATACATTGACCATATTGAATATGTATTTTTTACAGTATTAAATATTAAGTTAACATTTAAATACATGTAACTGTGTCTTTTAGGGTTTGTTTGTTTTTAAAAGGGATTTAGAATTCATGTGCATTTGGATTGTGTACAGGATGATTTGAATGCTATAAACCTCTTTAAAAAGCAGTTTAGGGTATTTGCAAAAAATCCTATTATTTCTGTTCTGGTTCCATGCTTGTTCTAAGAATAAAGTAGATCTAGATAGTCTGAAGCTCCAGGAAGGGGATCCATACAAGAGACTGAAGATTCAATGGGGAGGAGTAATTCATGGAACAACTTCCAGGGGGTGGGGCGGGGGTAACAAAAGGAAGAGAAACTAGTTATGAAAAGGAAAAGGGCTGGTTGGGATGAAAGAGGTGGAGAGGGATCTGACTGGAAGCAAGAAGAGCAGCTAGGAGGTTATTATAATTGTCAAGGTGGGGAGATCCCCATTAAAGTAAATAGCCAGGTGGGAAGAACCCCATTAAAGTAGACGCAATCCTCCTTGCAAGTCTAACAACACATGTTAATCACCAACCTTGAAGCCACACCTAATTTATTTATATATGTCTAGTAAGTTCAAAACTTCCCAACAGCATCATCTCTCCAGGTCCATCTGTGTCCAGCATCCATCAGTCTGCAAAGTCAGGGTTATTTAGAATCATTAAAATCGTCAGATTCACCCACAGTCTTCTCTTGGTATGGCACCATCTTTGGTGATTCTGTGTTCCAGTTGCCATCTACAATTGGGTAAGTCTTCACAATCGACTCAATGGCATAGAGACTGAAATTTAGAAAGGATTTCAAGTGCAAGAATGCTGATTAAAGACATATATTTCCCCCTGCTAAATCCTATTGACATTCTTACAGAATGACATTTCTATAGGAAAAATTGTAAAATAAAAATGAAACCATAACATCAATGGAAAGTTGACTCAGGTGCCTTCCAATTTTGAACCATTTTCAAACCAATGGAAAAATCTGAAATGTTTAGGGCAGATAAGATCACATTTCTGGTAAAATCTAACAGAGCAGTGAAATCCGTGGTACCATACAGGAAAGATGAGACTATCAAAGAGATTTTTTTGTTTTTCCTAGTAAAACTTCAGAATAATCCTAAAATTATAGACACTGGGGAGGTGAAGAGGAAATGGTGGATTAATCACTGAGTAATTAAGTGAAAGATCAAGAACAGCTGCAACAGTGCTCTGTTTTCATAGTGACTTTTGTAGTCTATCCCCATTAATGTGGCTTTTTGAATGCAGGAGATATTAGAGTGAACATGGCATCAGGGAATTAGAGCTCAAGACGCCTACCATCAAAGGAGAACACTCGAGTGTAGAGGATGAGCTTTTTACACATCTGAAAGGAAGATGCCTGAGAAATTTTGCTCTATTTAAGCCCAACCCACTCTAATGAGAACCATAAATTAACTGTGGGCAAACCCACATTTACCATGTTCTCTTCCTTCAAGAGACATGTCATTTCAGTGAGGAAGAATCAGGGCTCTTAGAATGAGCATGTGCATTTGGATTGTGTGTACAGGCTAGTTGGATGTCAGTTCTAAGGTATAATTTTTGTCTTTATTGTTTGTCTTTCAAATTGCTAGTGGTAACTATGCAACCACATCTTCAAAGCAGGAGTAAAAATCAGTATGGAGCCGGTAACTGACACTATCAGAAAGAGCCACAGGAAGATTCGGTCAAGAACTTGAGCTACAAATTTCCAGTCTTGTACAACCTGCAAAAAAGTAAAAGGATGCCATTAATCCAAGATGCTGGGCAACATCCTGAGTTCACTTGGAGGAGTTGGAAAAGAATGATATTCTTGTTTATGGCTCTTAATTTTTCAAAATGCACCTAACCTGTCACCTGCAATGTAGACTCAGATTCTTTCCCATGACATCACCAATAACTCCCAAGAAAATGGCTTTGCAAGTCCAATTTATAGGAACACCTTAAACAATACTAAAGAAGCAAAATAAAAACAAGTTATTTATGCACTTGTTCACGTTACTGATGAAAGTTCAAAGTGGGGAAAGCCTGATTTTAAACAAATAAAAGCCAATATGTCTTAATGTGATGTTTCCTTATGTAATTGTACATGTGACATTTATCAAAAAATGAAAATTATGAGTTACTGTGGCTAAGGGTCTCTAGTCTCTTTTTCTGCTTCACGTGAGGACATGCTGCTATAACTGGAGAATGGTGGACACTTCTGAGAAATGACCAGGAATTGACAAGATAGAGAGCATGTGCATTTGGATTGTATACAGGCTAGATGGATGTCAGTTCTAAGGTGTTAGGAAGGAAGGTGGGGGGAGAATGAAAAACAAACCTACAAGCAGGGGGTCAGAGGAGGAATCAGCTACAAGGTTAGAAAAGTCTTAAAGAGAGAAAGAGGTGTGTTCTCATCTTTGAAAGGAAAATAGCTGTCCCATTTTAATTCTTTGGGGATGTTATTAACATGAATAGAACAAGAAACTGCTATTCTAGAGCAGGGACTGCTGTAGCAGGAAGCTACTCCTGATAGGTTAAAATATATTGTGTGCACAAAGTGGTATAGAAATAAAATCTTGGTGGTGGTGGTGGTGTGCCGTGGAGTCTGTTCTGACTCATAGCGACCCTGTACAGGATTTCCGAGGCTGTAAATCTTTACGGGGGCAGAAAGCCTCATCTTTCTCCCGTGGAACAGCTGGTAGTTTCGAACTGCTGACCTTGAGGTTAGAAGCCTGACTCGTAACCACTATGCTACGAGAGCGCCTCTAAAACCTTTGGGGAAATGCAAAAAAAGGTTAAAATGTTTACAGTGTTAAATTTAAATTTTGAATCATTAATGATGGTAATTAAAAAATTTTGTATTTCTCTGCATTTTCCAAATTCTCTATACTGATATTATGCTATTTTCATAACTTTAAGGAAGTTATTCAAGTCTTTGTATTGGAAGTGTTCAAAGATGTAAAGAAACAAACAAAATTCCTTAAGAACTGTTAAAGTGTTTGTCTCAAGCAGCAATCTCTTTTCTAGTGTTTTCTTTCTTCCTCTCTTTCTTTTTTAAGGAATAATATGGGATATTAGTAGGAGCCTCAATTCTATTTTGAATAACTGAACTTACATGTTTTATGTTGGTTAACATGGTCTCTGGAGTGCTGGTGCGGTGCTGTAGGAAAAGCACTGGACTGCTAGCTGCAAGGTTGATTGTTCAAATCCAGCAGCCACTCCTTGGAAATCCTATGTGTTGTTACTGTTGTTGTTGTTGAGTTCCATCGGGTTAGTTTTGACCCATCGCGACCCTGTATACGGTTTCCAAGGAGCAGTTGGTGAGCTTGAACCACCGACCTTGCAGTTCAAACGGCTTTGCAGTCTGACGCATTAACCCACAGCACCACACCAGGACTCCGCCGTCAAGTAGAGGGTCGCTATGAATCAGAACTCACTCGATAGCACTTACAACAACAACAATACTGGTCTTTAGTAATTTCTTTCTTGTTTTTCATGGGATGATATATATTTCTTTAGATAGATATTTGCCTAGAAATAAAAGACCAAAAGGACTATGAAAATACAGTGTCACATCAGATATTTTGGTGAGAGAAGAATGTAGATTTTTAGCTTACAAATTAAAAATAAAAAGGAATGGAAAGAATGTAGATTTCGACTCAAACTGTCCTGGGCTACCATGTCTGATTTGAAACAAGTAGAGACCTTCCTCAGTTTCACTTTGCTGAAACCTACCTAAGATGGATGAGTTCTGGTGATGCAGTTATTAAAGAGCTTGGCTGCTAACGGACAGGGTGCTCTGTCGGCTCCTGTAAAGATTTACAGCCTTGGGAACCCCCTAGATTTAGTTTGTCTTACAAGGTCACAGTGAGTCAGAACCACTCAACAGCAGTGGGCTTGAGTATCTCAAAGGATTATTGTGAGGAATAAATGACATAAAATATGAAATATGCATATGAGCCTCACCTAGCGATTATGTAAGCAGCCAATAAATGTTGATTCTGGTCTCTGTCCTTCCTTAAAAGGGTCCTTCCCAGTGGAGTGAAAATCTTATTTGGCACACAAACATGCATTATGAAGAAAGTTGGGGGAAAAAACAAAAAATGGGTCTGTTGCTTAAAAGAAATTATAATTGACCATCCTCTACAACCACCCACTGCCATTAGGAGGATGCCAATTCATGGAGACCCAACGTTGCATTTGCAAAGGGATCTTCTGTGGAGGGTCTGATGGATTCAAACTGCTGACCTTGGGGTTAGCAGCATAATGCATAACCCACTAACTATGTCACCAAGGTTCATCTTAGAATAGACCAATAGAACCTTATACAGGGCTCACTTTTTTCCTCTAAAGTCTATGAAATTTAGGGTCAACAGCCTGTTTCCACAAACACTTATTATGAAAGAAAGCTTTATTATTAATTTTTTAATGAAATATTCGGCTACATTTTCTTTTTGCTGCACAGATGTTACTGTTGTTGTTTGCCATCTAGTTGGTTCCAAGTCATAGCAAGCCTGCATGGGATTTCTGAGAAAGCTGTTGGATGCGAACTGCTGATTTTCAGTTACCAGTCCAGTGCTTATTTTACAGTGCCACATCAGGGTTCAGATACTATCTAGCATATCATCTGTCTTATGATTCATCAATCTTTCAACCACTTGAAAGAAAGAAAGAGAGAGAGAGAGAGAGAGAGAGAAAGAAAGAAAGAAAGAAAGAAAGAAAGAAAGAAAGAAAGAAAGAAAAAGAAAGGAAGAAAGAAAAAAGAAAATTGAGGCTACTTACTTACCAATAACAATAACAATAAGAAATAGTCCTTATTCCACAATCATTTCACTTTTGCTTATGTTTTTCTTGTGAACTTCCTAAAAATTCATACTAAAACCTCTATTTTAGTATGACAGGGCTTGTTTTAAAATTTGTTTATATGTGTAAAAGAATTGCCAAGGAACCCCTAGTGACACAGGGGTTAAACACTCAGCTGCTAACTGAGAAGTTAGGGGTTGGAACCCACCACTACTGCTCAGGTGACAGATGTGGCAGTCTGCTCCTCTAAAAATTACAGCCTTGGAAATCCTACAGGGCAATTCTTCTGTACCCTATAGGGTCACTTGAATCAGAATTCACTCGATGCCACCCAATAGTGAGGTAGAATGGATCCCAGCCCATTGGTTACCCCAAGTGTTAGAGTAGAACTGGGATTCATGGAGTTTTCTTGGCTGCAGTCTTTTATGGAAGCCAATCATCAGAACTTTCCTCAGTGGTGTTACTCTGTGGATTTGAATCACTAACTTTTTGGTTATTATTGTTGTTGTTGTTAAGTGCCATGGTGGAGTCAATTCCAAATCACAGCAACCTGGTCATAGGGTTTCAAGGAGCTGCTGGTACGTTTGAGCCATGGACCTTGTGGTCCAGTGCTTATCCTACAGCACCACACTGGGGTTGAGGTACACCATAATAGCAGCATTATTCTGGATACCAGTTTACTCACCTGACTGATAAAATACTCTTTCTTCACATGTCTTGAAATGTATCTAATGGAATCGACAGCCTTTTCCAAGAAAGCAATGAGAACTTTTTCTCCATCATTCATTTGTTTCTTTTTCTTTTTTTCTGGAACTTTAGCTTTTACTACTGGTTTAATCTCATCTTTATCTGGGAAAGAATAGCGATCTACATGGTTCTTCATACAAAGTACTTTAGGAAGTTTTTGAAGAAATAGTCTCTTAACCCAGGGAGCCATGGAATGGTATGTTGAGGAAGATCTATGGTGAACATTAATTACAAAAACAGTAACAATGATGGACAGAGTAACGAAAATCATAATGAACAATAGGTATTCTCCAATGAGAGGAATGACTTTTGAAGAAGATGGTATTATTTCTTCAATTACTAAAAGAAAAACTGTCAGGGAAACCAAAACAGATGTTGATAATGAAAGTTTTTCTCCTTCATCAGAAGGCAAATAGAACACGAGAACTGTTAGGAAAGACAGCCCCAGGCAGGGGATTATCAGAAAAAGGGTATAGAACAAAGGCAGGCGCCTCAGCACAAAAGAATAAGTAATAAATGGATATGAATATAAACCCTCTCTTCTGTTTCCCCTCATCCCTTTTGCATTTAATATTTCCCATTCTCCATTATCAAAGAAGTCTTTCCTGTCAACATTCTCATTTATTAAAATGAGGTCAACCATGGTACCATCGTAAGTCCAGGATCCAAACTTCATTGAACAGTTCTGTCTGTCAAAAGGGAAAAATGTGACATCCATGGTGCATGAACTTTTGTAACTGGCAGGAGGGGTCCAAATGACAGTTCCATTATATTTCACAATGACTTTTGTCATAAGGGAGCCTTCAAAACGTCCATCAGCACTGTAATTAAAGTAACTTCATTTTAGTGGTTAGCATGCATTAGTGTTATAGTATCTGTAATTTATTACTTTCCTACTACAGTGGAATTTCAAGCAATATTTTAAAAAGAAATACCAGTATACAAGAAGTATGTTACAGAAGTACACTAAGAAAGGTACTTAAAGTTGTACCTTTTACTTGATTCTTTTGGCAAAACTACGTTTCTATTCCTACCTCTCATCTTTCCCTTTGCGATACTTACTTTTCAAAGAGAACTATGTCAGGAAGCCAGAGAGATTCTGATGGGACTTTAATTGAATGAATTCCACCATATTCATCGGGATTCCAACGTAATTTGAGGTCTGTCCATTCCTGTATAAGATTAGTACACTGTAATTTTATCCTGAAAATTAAATGTATTAGACTTTGGGCTCTGCCAATTTCTGTTAATTTACCCACCCAGTGTTTTAGAAAGAAATTAATCTACTTTAAACGTTATGACCCAACCTGGAATTCCGTAGAATCATAGGGTTCTATTTGAGCCAGCCCAGTCTCTGAACATGCCCAGACCCATGCACCTTGCTTGTTTGGTATTTCTGATGTTGCTTCTTCTACTTCACAATGAAGAGGCTCAGCAACAAATGCCATTGATTGATTATTGTTTCCAGTCTACCTATTTTCTCTTAAGAAAAAAACAAAAACAAACAAAATTCTAGGAGCACTGACTCAATGATATTTAAGGTCTGGTTTGTTGTTATTAAGTGCTGTCGAATTGGTGCTGAGTCATAGTGACCCTGCATAGGGTTTCTGAGGAGCAAGAAGCTGGTGAGTTTGAACTGATTTTGTGGTTTGCAGTCCAGTGCTGATCCTACAGTGCCACACCAGGAGTCCTCAGGAAATGGGTATCAAACAATTTTTAACATCACTGAAATGTGTTGCACAAACATCCAGATGTTGTGTAAGTCCATAAGTCCAGTATGGTTGATAACGACACATGTAGTATCCTTGGACTAGTTTTGATGACATTTTAACTGTATCCCAAAGGGAAAAATACTTCTAAAAATTTCCTCTTAAACTTTAATGTATACATGGCAAATGTTCTATTACCTACTTATCACAATAGTAATAATAATAACAGTAAAACTCTAAGCATTATACAACTAGTCACAATAGCAAACACCACCCAAATGCCCATCAGTGGAAGAATGGATAAACAGACTCTGGTATATACACACAATGGAATACTATGCTACCTTGAAGAATAACGATGAAGCTACAAAACACCACATAACATGGATGAGCCTTGAGGACACAATGCTGAATGAAATTACTCATGCATGGAAGGACAGATATTGCATAAGTCCATTATGTAAAAACTTAAGAAAAAGTTTTCCATATTAAAAGAATAATTTTTTGAGGGTTACCAGGGGAAGGAAAAGGGGGAAAGTAACTCACAGGTCAGGGGATTGTTGTTGTTGTTAAGTACCATGGAATTGGTTCCGACTCATAGTGACCCTGCACAGGGTTTCTGAGGCTGTAAGTCTTTATGGGAGCAGAACGCCTCATCTTTCTCCCACAGAACCGCTGGTAGTTTTGAACTGCTGACCTTGAGGTTAGCAGCCCGATTCGTAACCACTACGCTACCAGAGATGGACACATATTAACTCTGGGGAAAGGGAGGGCATAAATAGGAGGAGGAGGGCAATACATAAGAAGGTGGAAGAGGGTAGAGGAGTGGGAATGATAGGGAAAGACTCTGGGAGGTATATATGGGTTGAATGGACTAGAGGTAGACTGATGTTTGAACAGCCTTGAAATAGCAAGGTTTTATGATATAGGGATTGAGATACAGGCTGAAGAGGCAAAGGACAGAAAATATTGTTAAGATGTTTGTTCACAAAAGGACAAATATTGCATAAGACCATTATTGTAAAAGCTTAAGAAAAGATGTCCATACTAAAAGAAAAAAAAATTCTCTGCTGGTTACCATGGGTGGGAGGGAGGGGACAGTAAGGCACAGGTTGGGGATCATGACATCATAGCTTGGGTGAGGGGGAGGGCAATATCCAAGGAAGGAGAAGGCAAGTCTTCACATCAAGGATCCAGCCTACCCCCTTAGTACCTAGGGTGGATAGGGACGGGCAACTTAGACATTGGCTACCTAAAATGAGGGAGATATAAAGGCACGAAGTGCCTGGCTTACAAGTTTTCAAGAGGGAGTTTAGTTTTAGAGCGAGGGGGGAAGGTAGAATCCCTAATGAATAGTTTTCATCTTGTCTAGATGGGTCTGGTGAAAGGAGATGGGGGTAGGATTCTTTTGATGCAAAAGTGAGTAATTATCATTGTGACCAACTGTAAAGGTAGAATTATCATCATGACCATTGTAAAGGTAGAAGTTGTGTAACAAAAAGCATGTAATCTTGTATTCCAGGAACAGAGGACCCTAGCACCAGTAAGAGGGAAGAGAATGAGTGGAATGTGGGACCCTAACCAGAGAGGCAGCAACACCAGAGACTGAGGCAGAGGAGCCCTGTTGGTGTAGTGCTTACTGAAAAGTGGGTCTGCTTCTATCCATAAAAAGGTGTACAACTTTGGAGGATGACCTTCCACTGAGGGCAGAAGAGAACACCAGCCCCTGGAAGAGACTAAACCCAGAATCCTGAAGAACTCTGCATGCTGGACATTTCAGAATAAGTCTGGTCAATTTCTCCCAATCCCCTTTACAAATGCCAGCCTTTTGGAGGAACAGAGGCTAGCGTTTGTTGGGTCTTTTCTGTCACCTCGAAAGCTCCTTGCTCTTTCACTTTTAATAAATCTTTGTTTGTATAAAAAACAACAACAACAACAACAACAAAAACCCACAAACAAACCAAAACTCTATGCACTATAACAGAGGCTTGGTCGTGCAATAATGAAGTGCTCAGCTACTAACAGAAAAGTCATTGGCTCTAGTCCACCAGCAGCTCTTCCAGAGAAAAGATCAGGCAACCTGCTTCTATAAAGATTGTTGTTATATTCTGTGGAGTCGGTTTCAACTCATAGCGACTCTATGCACAACAGAACAAAATACTGCCCAGTCCTGCACCATCCTCACAATTGTAATGCTTGAGCTCATTGTTACTGCCACTGTGTCAATCCACCTCTTTGGGGGTCTTCCTCTTTTTCACGGACTCTCCACTTTACCAAGCATGATGTCCTTTTCCAGGGACTGGTCCCTTCTGATATCATGTCTGACAGTCTCACCATGCCCATTTCTAAGGAGCATTCTGGCTAAACTTGTTCTACGATAGATTTGTTTGTTCTTCTGGCAGTTCATGGTACTTTCAATATTCTTCTACAATGCTGTAATTCAAATGCATGAATTCTCCTACAGTCTTCCTTATTCCAACTATCATATGCATTATGCATATCAGGCAATTGAAACTACCATGCTGTAAACACTACAGCCTATGAGGCCCTATGGGGCAAGTCTCTTCTGTCCTATAGGGACTCTATGAGTAGGAATTGACTTTATGGTATATAACAACAACAACATGCATCATAAAACATTATTCTAAAGGAAAATCTCAATGTTTATGATTTAAAAATACCCCAATTTTTAAAAACCAGTATCATTGCAAAAATAAATACTATAAGAAATAAAGCAAAGTTTAATTTGAATTTTTTTATAAGCTCCCAATTACAGATTTAATTTATATTCCTGGTATTGTTAGCCTCCAGATGCTTACATATTTTTACTCATAATAGAATGAGATGATTAAGCATGATTTGTAGGGGCTGATGGGTCTAGATGAACAAATTGATTGAATTACAAAGGCCAAAAGGATGACCCAGTTACAGCAAAAATGAACTTTATTAAAAAGAATCTTATGAAATCTAGCTTGGAAATTAAATTCTTGTGTAGACAGTGGGGTAATGATATAAGATAATGAGAAATGACATTTTAGAGAGTTAGAAGGGTGTGCCCAGTGTGAGGTTTCCTGGAGCCTGTGATGCTAACTTTGTCATTAAAAAATCAGGAGTTAACAGATGGATGATTTTGATACTGAAATATGCATGGTGCCTGGGAAATGATGGAAGCACACAGTCCAGGTGAGATATTGTTTGTCTCAGATGACACGTACGATCGCCGAGAGAGAAATTTGAAAAGATATGGACTGTTGATGGGAAATAGGGTACCAGGCCTGTATGGTCGTAAGTCATATCCTGACCAATGTGGTGGTGAGAGGATGGGCCCAGAACCAATTGTGCAAACTGTTCTAATCTGCAATGGCGTACGTAATTCAATCTCAGTCCCTTTCTTGCTTCCATGCGGCTACCTACAGCAGTGATGATGAGATCTTCTGACAATCAAAATTTTGTGTTGATTTCCTTTGTTTTCTGTGTTCTATAATTAGTAACATGGCCATAAGCCCTTTGGACACCATTCTGGCCTCATGCTGAGGGTCTCCCTCACCCGGATTATTTGTCTTTGTCTTGTCTTTGTCCTGATTTGGGCATAAATAAAGGATCTTTATAAAAGAAAATAGATATGGATCTTTAAAATGATAGAATCTAAAGCATAAAAAAATTCCATGACTATTTATAGATGTAAGAAGAGATTTTGAAACTTGCTCTTGAACATAAAGTAGCTAAAGTGAACAGAAGAAATAAGGAAGTAAAAAAGCCTGGACAATTTCTAGAAGACAAAGTGAAATATAATGGCTCAATTAAAGCAAACAGGTGGCTCAAGAAGACAAAATAAAATAGTATAATTAAACATGCGAGGAGCTGGGGTTAAAAAACCAAAAGGGAAGAACACACTCAACATTTCCCAAGTTGAAAGAAATGAAGAAAAATTCAAGCCTTGATTTGCAATATTGAAGGATTCTATGGATCCTTAACAAAGAAAAAGATGGGGATATCCCTCCTATCTTCTTTTATTTATTTATATATTTTAAATGTTTTATTGTGAATTATGTGAGTTTACATGAGAGAACATTAGCTTTACATTCATCCAATCGTATATTACATTCATGTAATCATATATTACATTGCCATGGTTACAATCCCCTCCATGCATCATCAACAAACCAAATAGTACACCGGCAAGCCCACTCCTGGTCATCAGCATACAGCCCATCTCCCTCTCTGGGTCTAGAGTTCCCAGAGTTCTCCATGTCATTGTCTCTGCCTCCATCTCTGGCATCACTGTTTCTCTGGGTAGGGTCCCGCATTCCGCTCTTCTCCCTTGGTGGTCCCAGGGCCCTCTGCTCCTGGACTGCAAAGTCAACTACTCCCCTCCTTTTGCTACAAAATGTCTACCTTTACATTTCCAACCCTCACAATCAGTTCTGATAGTAATTATCCACTATTGTACCACACGAGCGCTA